AAGGCTGAAACATTTATATTTAAAGAAACTTTCTAAATTCTAATCTAGGTAAAAGAGGACACCTAATTCTAATTGTAATTGCCTAATGGGTTGCCTATTTGGTGTAAAAGACTAGAAACTAGGATAGTAATTGCCTAATGGGTTGCCTATTTGGTGTAAAAGACTAGAAACTAGGATAGATATAATTTAGTTAAGTAGGAACTAGAAGATAGGGTTGTTCTAGTTCTAGTAGAAAATTAGTTAAGTAGGAAACTAGGAACTACCGAACTAATAGAAGACTAGTTAAGTAGGAAGACTAGTTTGGTACGGTTTCGGGTCGGTTTCGGTTTTTACACAAGAAAACCGAAACCGACCCGATATTTCGGTTTATAAATTTGCCCAACCCGAAACCGACCGGTGCTGATGAAAACCCGGCCGACTCGGGTTGGGTCGGTCTGGGTTGGTCAATTTGGTCGGGTTGGGTCGGTCTGGGTTGGTCAATTTGGTCGGGTTGGGCCTTCTTATGAACAGCCCTACCCATCATCACCACATGACCTACTATTGCTAACCTTGCTTGCTCACTAAAGAGTAAAATAAAATATCAGGACCCTATTAAAAATGTATCACTAAAACTCATCTTTTACGTTTAGATGGAGAAAAAACTCAAATAGAATTGTAGGGCCCACCAACATCTGCCATTAAGCATCACATAATGATTTAGATATCTTTTGATACCGTTCTTAAATTTCAAATAAGGATCTTTTTTAAGAAAAACAAAATTACAAAATCATATGCCAACTCACTTTAAGATGATCTGGAATAATGTATAACTCATCCTCCGCACGCTTTAAATCATTCTCAGCTTGATTGGTTGCATCAATTTTTTTACCCCTTTTCTTTGCCAACTCTTGTTCAACATACTTCAACCTGTTAAATAATGAATAGAGTCAAAAATAGAATCTAAACAACCATCCATAGTTGTCAAGGTGATACCTAGGCAGGCACCTACTTCTACTACTACTTTTATTTTCTTCTTTTCCTATAACAACCACCAATACTTTTTATTTTCTTCTTTTCCTATAACAAAAATAAGGGTTCAGCCCCTATATTTTTTGAATTTTATTTTCCTTCTTCCTTTTCTTCTCATGAATATATTGATTTTCTATACTTTAATATGAAATTTATACTATGAAAATCATGAATAATTATTAAAGAAATATGGTTATGGTACCTAGGGAACTACCCTAGGATCTATATTTTTAACATAAAAAAATCCATCGCCTAGGCGACTAGGCAACAAGGCACCCCCCAGTCGCTTAGCCTCGCCTTGGCACCTTGAAAACTATGCAACCAGCATATCCATCAAAAAAGCAACCTCAACGAGGATGAACATACAAATTATTTTTTCATAGAAAAACTTATAAAAATATTGCTTCCAGAGCATCTCAAGCAGTACTCTCTTAAAATTAGTTCTTGCTTTTCTTTTAGACCAGAAACCTGTCAATGAAACATTTTGTTTCCTTTAAAAAACAAAAAAAAAAATGAAAGAAAATAATCCTTAACTGTCCCTCTATAAAGTCAAGAAGCAATAATAAAAGTGCAAACATCAGAAATGAACAGATATATATCAAACGAATTATGAACATAACCTCTAAATTCTTTCCAGGTAAAATGCTCTTCCTGAACAATAAAGCCACCTTGGGAGACAATGATACATTCGCAATTACTATAATCATGGCCCCCAAGTCAATAACTTGGTCCATTTTCAGTCATTACCATAAAAAGAGACCCTCTAAATTACAACCAGCTGGACACACAAATTGTAATACAACTGAAATGGATCGGGTGATTGAACAATTCAAATTGTCATCTTGCTTCCTTTATATAATGATGAACAGAGCAAAATGGTGGGACAGGATTCATGTAGATGACCCCAAATAGTTGAGATCACATCTGCGCCCCACATGCACATCTCAGCGTGCATTGGGAACATCTCCCAAAGTTGGCAGTGGGAGATGTTCCCAATACACGGTTAGGGTATGCTGTGGGGCATTTGTGGGGCACAGATGTGAATTCCAAATAGTTGGGATTAAGACCAAGTCAAGTTGAATTAGATAGATAAGAAAAATTTTATTGATAACTAAAAAGAACCAAATCCAAGACATCAGACTGAGATACAAGAATGGTAAGGAAGAACAAACAAAGAAAACCCCTGACAAGGGAGATAAAAAAAACAGAAATCATATAATTAGAGCCCCTATATTTATATAAAAGTACCCCAGAGCAAAGAAGGCTAGCTACCCTCCACAGTAAATATGTCAGCAATGGAATTGACAGATGTTGGACAATTTGAAACAAGGAGTTCAGCCTTAATGGCAGTTTACCTCTGTAATAACATGGCTCAATTTCCAAGGATCCATAAAGGGGTCAAGCATCCATCTCATGACAACCTTGGAGCTGCCCACCACCATGAACCCCACAACATCCATAGATTATGACAATCTGTAATATGAAGGAGAGACAGAATCTCCCACCTGAGTCTCCTTTCCAAATAGAGCCTAAATAAGCAATAGCCACCACCCCTCTAGTTCCTAAAAGCCAGTATTGCATGGACTCTCAAAATGGATGAAGCATCTGTGTTAGAGTCAGATACTTAATGGATTCCTGAGGGGCACCTTTACATAACATTTTCCTTTGTGCACTTGCTTATTTGACATAATATTTAATACACAATAAATGCCATTTTTAATAAAAAAAAGTAACAAATATAACTTATAAACCTTTTTTCCATAGGTGTAAAGTGTCAGAATTCAAAAAAAAAAAAAATCTAGGGCATTATAATAGTGATGCTTTTTTGTAGATGTTAACAGTATATGTTACCATGATTCCTTGTCCTTTTGTCTTACCGAGTCAGACTCCTGGAAACACATCAGATTCTGATTTTTGTGTCATGTCCATGCAACACTTCTGAAAATATCTTCAGTACATGAAACTAAAAACTTGTCATGAGAACAACCACCAAAGTTAAGTTTGAATGGGTTCTTCTAGGGGAGGAAGGGGGGAAGTAGGTGCATCCAGGACCTATGATAGGGAAATTTGACAAATTTCCGTTCCCTCCACAAGGAATAATAGAAGCACCTAAAAAACTGTAATTTGCCATGTTAAATTTCATTTGAACTTATTAAGGTTTTGAAAGTGAATGTATTAGTAGGCTGATTATTGAGACAGATTTGAAAACTGTGGTTAAGTGGCTTGGTAAGGGGGAGGGGGTGGCTTACATTTGAGGAATGATTTCAGGAAATTTAAATGGCTGTCACAGGATATGTCAATCCGAGTGAGATGGGTGAGGAGAACTGCTAACAGCTTGGCAGATAGCCTAGCCAAGCAAGGGGTGCATAGAGCACATATGTTTTGGGCTCAAATGTAAATTGTATTGGGACAGCTCCTAAATGTGGTTCTTTCACAACTTCTTGTTGTAATCCTGATTTCTTTAATTTAATGAAATCTTTTTCCGTGTTGCTGATCAAAATAAAAAAGGTTTTGAAAGTGAAGGGACTCTGAAAAAATGACAAGCTTTGACAAAATCAGAAGAAAAAGGAGCATGAACACATGCAAAAATCTTGAGCTTTTTTTTTCTAGAAATTTGGCAAAGATGAGTTTGAAATTTTCCTACATTTGTTTTTGTTTTTGTTTTGTTTCCCCATTTTGTTCTTTTTATCGACCAACTTGTACACAAAAACAGTTTTCTTTTTATCAATTACACAAACAGTTTACCTCCAGGGGAAATAATGATCATTGCCACTATTGGGGATCCAAGCCAAGTATGCCACAGACTAAGCATAAATGTTGTTCATCAAATATCCAATTATCCATGAACTATGCTCATGGAGAAAATTTGTAATCATTCATGGAGAGAGAGAAAGAGAAGAGGAAGATATGATTGAGAGAAAAAGAAAACCTTCTTCTGGCTGCCGCCAGTTCATTATTTATATTAACTTAATATAAAAAGAATGGAAAATACAAGTATGCCCCCGGAGGCACTCCCTAGAAACAAACTAATAAGAAGGAAAGAAAATAACTAATTGACAGCATCTTAAGCGGACAACCCACTAACAGCAACTATAAAATAAC